AACCATATATGATAAGAGTATAATCAATAATATAATTCGTATATCAAATAATACACTAGGTTCAATAATTGAGTGTTATAAGGGAAACAAGCGTGGTAAAGCAAGAGAACATTTGATGCATAAATATTTTAATCATTTTAAGTATTTTAATGACCATCTAATTTAAGAATTGAACATGCATGATTAATAAGTATTATTATATTAGTATATACATATGTAAAACGTTAAAAGGTGTGGATGCTATTACAATTATTTCCAGTGTTACTTTTACCAACACAACTTAGTGAAAATTATAGAGAATAGAAATCAGTAAATTAGTTAACGTTCGCTGCGTGAGTATTAGAGTCGAGATATACGTATGTGACTATACTGAAGACTGGACTGGCCTTCAATTTCCGTTCTACCAACAGTTGTGGTCTTTTAGACGAGCTAGGGTGGACATGTTAAAGTGTCTTTCTAGGCTCCGTTTGAACCCATCAGGGTTTTCACAACATCTTATTTCAGGTGGTAGTTGGTTCCAAAGAGTGCAATATTTTATGGTGAAAAAGTTTGCCCTAATGGATTTTCTGTGGGTAGCCACCTTGACAAGGTAGTCGTGGTTTCGCAGCTGATATGATTTAATATTTTCCCAAGTTATGGATGAGTTACTGTAGCAGTGTTTCCTAATGACTTTGAAGAGTAGAAATAGGTTGCACTTCACTCTCCTTAACCACAGAGGCTCTAATTTCAGACGTACACACCTGTCAACATATTCCACTTGTTGGTCGAACCCTATTATGCGTTTCGTGAGGAATCTCTGGACACTTTCGATTTTTTTTCTGTCTACAGTCCTGAGGTTACTAAATAGGAGAGCACAATATTCAAGTTTGGGACGGATACATGTCCTATATATAGCTAATCTTGCTTCTTGGGTGTAGAAGTTACGCAGTACAAAGCCAGTAAGTCGTTTACAGTCAGATACAACCTTATTTGCACGATCGGAAAAGGATAAATCTGAGTATGTTATCCCGAGATCTGTGACTGTGTTCAGTTTTGAGAGGAGCTTACCGTACATATATAGGCACATTATCGGTTTCCAGCGTCCAAGGTGGGTTATACCGCACTTGTCTGGGTTGAAAGTCAGTTGCCACTTTTCGCTCCAATCGCCTAGATCATTTAAGTCTTGTTGGATCTTGCTTTCGACGCTCATATCACCGTACCCATAATCATATACTATCTTGAGATCATCTGCAAAAAGGTATGGCTTGCCATACTTGATTACAGAGACTATGTCATTTATAAATAAGAGGAATAGAATAGGGCCAAGAACACTACCTTGTATTACACCACTGGTTATCGGCTTTGAGGAAGACAACTGGTGGTTGATTTTGACTAATTGCTCTCTTTCTGTGAGAAAAGAACTTATCCATTTGTGAAGATTTCCGGTTATTCCGTAGGATTGGAGTTTTGTTAGGAGTCTGATATGTGGGACTTTATCGAAGGCCTTGCTAACGTCAAGAAACAATGTTGTTACCGAACGCCCATTATCAATGCTTTGTGTGATGTAGTCAAAATAATCTAAGTGGCAAGTAATGCACGACCTTCTACTTAAGAAACCGTATTGGGATGGGGATAGTAGGTCATTTGACAGCAAGTACTGAATGATTTGAGTCTTAACTATCTTTTCCATTACACGTGAAACTACAGACGTGATGTTGATGGGGCGGTAGTTGTTGATATCAGCTATAGGCCCGTATTTATGGATAGGTACAATATAAGACTTCTTCCAGCAGTTAGGGTATGTCCCATCGCTTAATGAAATTGAGTATAACTTGAGTAAGAGTAAACTCATGTCATTACCACCTTTTTTCAGCAGAACGGAAGATATACCGTCTGGGCCAGTAGTGTTACTAAGCTTAAGATTTGCGACAGCTTTATCGATCTCATGTGTGGTGAAAATTATGTCACTTAAACATTCGTCTGTTTTACGTGGGAAATCCACGACTTCATCGTTCTCTAAGGTGTATAATCTGGCGAAGTGCTTGCTAAACAGTTCACATATCGCCTCATTATTTTCGTAAGCAATGCCGTCTAAGTATATTATTTTCGGATAGGGTGTTTTGGAGTTCATCAACCTACTTTTAAAAAGTTTGGCTATTTCTCCTGAGTTATGCGGTGCATGAATGGCCTGCATTTCTTTGTTTCTGAGGCCTATATTTCTCAACTCTTCAATTCTACTGAGAAGGGACGTTATGGCAATTAATGACGATAAGTCATGATATCTGTAGTATTTTATTGAGTGCTTACGTAGACTTCTTCTAAACGATGTCGGAATATAATCACTTTGGGGGAATCTGAAGTTAAGAATCTTCTCGGGTGCAATGACGTCGTGAATTGAGTTAATATTCTGATAGAAGTTGTTAAGAATTGCATCTAAGGACTGGTTCGAAAAGTACGAGTCCCAATTAGAACATCTAATTAGGTGCTGATACAAGTCCCAGTCAGCATGTGTGTACAATCTCATAGGTATCTGGCCAGCTTCATCTCTGCGTTTTGTTTCAGGAAAGATGTCAAAAGAACAAACTACTATTCTATGGTCACTACCTGGAAATTCATGTCCAACATGTACGGTAGATGGCGTTATGTTGTTCGTGAAAATAAGGTCTAGGATATTTGCGGATCTAGTGGGTGAATTTATGTGTTGTGTCCACCCTCCTGTGACGATGGAATTTATGAGATTATCGTACCTTTGGGGTCCTCGGAGTGAAGACCATGATACTTCTGGCAAGTTGAAATCGCCTCCGATAATTTTATAACTGAAAGGAAGATTGGCTGTAACATTAAAGATATTGCTAAGCATATTATCATATTCCCTGCTGGATGAAGGGGGCCGGTACACACAACCCACAAGTATAGGTTTACTTCTGACAACTTTTATTTCGACCCAGATCGAGTCATTGAGTTGTGACAGAATTGGGTTACTAAACTGGGTTGCACACATGGATTGTTCACAGTAAATTAGTGTTCCACCCCCACGACCTGTCCGTCTGTCTCCTCGAAAAAGGTTGTATTTATCAATCCTTAGGCTGTCATTGGAGATTTCACTTGTGCACCAGGCTTCGGTGATCATAATCAATGACGGTCTGCATATAGAAGCTATTGTACTTAGTGCTAAATGTTTGCTTAGAACTGATCTCGTATTTACTAGGATAATAGATAAACACTGGCTATGTGGTTTCAGTGAGCGGACAACATCTTGGTAAAATAATCCGTGAGTATCCTCTATATACATGTTATCAGACTCATTTACCAATATCTTTGGATCGTAGGAAGACTTCAGGTAGATTTTTGAGGTGGTTCTGGTCAAGAGAGACACGGATAATAAGGAAGGAGGGGGAGTTGGTAAATACTTTGACAGGCAGCTTAAATGTGTGCGCGCAACTGACCACCACTTATTAAACTCCTGGACTCCACATGGTGCCATTTCACCGTAGGCCACACCAAGCACTTACTGGGTGGCATCTACCGATCTCCCACCTGTGGGGCAGAGCAGAATCAGCTACTGCTCAGCACTATCACAGGGATACGAGATTTGGGCTACGACCAAATCACCATAGCTGGAGATTTCAATGCTCCATCACTGAACCTCGGCTCCGGGTGTGCTAAGGGAAAATTTGGCCGAAACCTACTGCAAACTATTCGAAACACATGACTGACTGAGAATGTTGGAGACGACACTAGGTGGGGCCCTAGTGGAAAGCTATCAAAACTAGACCACATTCTAACTAGTGACCAACTACTCGTCGAAAAGGTCCAGATCATGACTCCTCTGGGAAGCAGTGACCATGCATTCATAGGTTTCGATCTCGTTCTGCGTGAGCGTTTGCAGTGGGATGTTACGCGACCATGTCTGTGTTATAGCAAGGCTGACTATGCTGAAATGCGGAGGCTCTTGTCCGATGCAGACTGGCCCTTAGCATGGGATTACCTATCTGTGGATGAACACTGGTAAGTGGTAAAAAAGATTATTCATACAGCAATCTCGGATACCGTCCCTTTAGTCACAACACAGCCCAAGAGAAAGGGGTCATGGTTGAAGAGAGGCACGCAACGTATTCTGCAAGCAAAGCGGAAAGCTTGGTTTACGTGGCGTGTATCTAAGAGTCAGACGGACCATGATGCATACCTCGAACTCAGAAACCGGTGTAATGCAAGAGTCAGGGGGGACAGAAGGTCATTCCAGGCTAAGCTTGCTAAAAACTCTTATAAAACCCTAAAAACTTGTACCGATTCATGTCGGAAAGAAAACCGACAAACCAGGGATCGTGCGCCTTAGTAGGCCCAAACGGTCAATATTTCACTAGTCTGGAGATGGCTGAAACATTCAGTTCAGCCTTCGCTAAACAGCTAAACAGCAATGTGGATATTACAGTTTGTTATTCTGAATAACTTCACTAATTATATCTATTATTAGCACCATCTCTTTTCTCTTGTCGACAATACCGGAGGGCTAACTGGTGAAAGGATCAACTCCATTCACAGTAGTAACAGTCTTAACCCACCTCATACTACAAACCATGTATAATTAATCCCAGCACTACTCCCTTTGAAGTCAACCAAAGCTACGACAGTCGAGTGGCGGGATAAGCTACGCAGAAGTTTACCGAAGATCAGGAACCTATATCTTACAATCAATAAGCAAACACAAAGAAATCAAATTGGTTTATACTAGCTCGTAAAAACCATATTGGTTATTGGACTGCAAGGAGGTAGTAGTACCTGTTTACTCATTTAGTTTGTCCATAGAGACAGAAGAAAATTATCTTTATTATTATTATCAAAAAATCCATCCTCATGATGAAAACCTGCTGAATGTGTCTCACTCCACCAATGACCTTGGACGTGACAGACAATTTCAGCCATATTTCTGCTTCACAGAAATATTGAGGTTTGAATGCCAAAGCGGAATTTTTGTTGTGGACGGTACCTATATCGATTGTACTCATCTTGAATCCCCAGTGATGAGTGACTATTCAGACTCAGATTTATCTGACAATCAATCTCCTCCTAAAAAGAAAAGCAAACCTCAGAAATACATTAAGAAAGATTTGTCAGACGATAATGATGAGGAGGAGGAAGAGGAAGAAGAAGAGGAGGAGGACGAGGAAGAAGATGACGTTGACGAAGATGAGGAACCCGTAGTATCATCAAAGAAAAAAAGACGAATGCATTTCGCTATAAAGGTATGAGGTGTTAATTTTAATGGATCCCTGATTAATATCGGTTTGGGTATATCCAGCTGTCACTATAACGACAGTCAATTGGACCCGAATTGTTAATATTTAACTTAGTTATGTAGAATATTACAATCCCTATGTTTAAGTATGCTAGAAGATAGGCTAGGTAGCTTCTGTCAATGATATTGCGTGACTTGAGCTAAAAGTCTCGAGTTGGACTAATTTTGGTTTCTACTTATGATCTTGGTATTATGTTGCAGGCTGAGATGGCTTCTTGGACTTCCTTTCGTTACCGGGTTACTTGTGTCAATTCATGCAATGTACATCTCTCCGTCTATTTTTCACCTAGAGGTATACACTAGGAAAACCCACATCCCTAGTCGTGATAATAAGGTTCTGTCTCTAATTAACTAATTTTGCGATCTGAATCTCACGCAGGTGATATCTGAAAGGTTATCGGATATTTTCAGAACTAAAGGCACAAAACGCTTTTATAACTGCACTTCAAGAATACGAGTGAAAAAGCACAGATAATATTCATTTAATATTCACAGGAAATGGAACTGAAGAATAAAGTGTATTTTTAAGCTATAAGTATGTCCGAGTATAGCCTTAAAAATCAATAAACTGATTGGTAGAGCAGCGGGAACTCTACGTAGTGTTCTGGAGTCGAGAGAACTACTCAGTGAAGTATGGTTGCTTATTGAACCGTGCAAAAGTGTATATTCCTTGGTTTCACCTTGCCAGGAGTCAAAGTTAGTTATGCATAGCTTGCATAATGTGATTAAAAATTGTTCACAGCGCTGAGATGTAGTGTTGACCTCAGTTTGTTAAGGTTGCCACATACCACGAATTTTCCTCCCAACAAAATGAAAATTGAAATTAATGTGATAGAAATTCTTAGAATATTTAGGGATTAAAAGGAAAACATAAGGCAAATCAACAGAGACTTCAGAATCATATCTGAACCATTTATTCCACAACCATCAGTTCGTGTAATGGCGTGAACCTTATTTAGGAAATCAGTAATTCACATCAACTTTGGGTGACTTCTTAGAGTGTTTGAATTTCCTTGTCATAACATGCTTTACCTTTTCCTAATCTAAGCCTTCTTCACCAACAAAATGCATCGAGACACAGTGAATGTTGATGAGTAACAGATATTTCAACCAATTCATACAGTGATTTATAGTGCTAGCAGCCATTACGTTCTCGTAAATTACCTTTTGCTAACTACTTTTACAAATGTGGTTGCTTCCTTCTGTGTTAAGATTTGCAATTTGCCACTTTTTTTATAACCAAACTGCGTTATTTAGAAAATGATACACTTTAGCAATTGTGGTTTGTCAAATGGTGAGATAATTTATTACTCAAAAACAGACAGAAATCCAACCATATTTTAACATGTAGAGAACTCTCGCTTTGGCAGTTAGTGGAATTTTCAAACGTTAGAATGTCTTCCAACCTCTATTGAAGACTTTTTTACTGGTAACAGAAGACTTCTGAACAGATTAAATCAGTAGGTAGGGTTGAGAATCAGTTGTCGACTACCTAAATGCCTTGGCTTAAAAATTATTACGATATCAGGTATGCTGTCTGTATTCTCATCAGAAATTAAAACTTCCTATTTACTCAACGCGTAATTGCTCTGTATCTCTCGCTATATTTCATCATGATACTTTTCAGCATTTTAATCTGCTCCGTATGACGAAAGGGGGAATATAAACTAGAATTGTTGTTTTATATTTTGCTAGTTATGTTATTGTCGAAAGTTGCACAAAATTTTTGTCTCTAGTCCATGCATAAAGATGTCATCGAGAAGTGACAGTTTTTAGTAAGACAACATTTTCCTTTCATTATTGATTAACCTGATAATTTTCTAACTATACTTCGAATAGCCATTCTAAAGCCCGTAAAGTCCATTGTTTCTAACCGTTTTACTTCATTTTCTTGTAAACGGTGGGAATTTTAATTAATTTAAGGCAGCTAAGTCAGCTGTATCAATTTGTAATAAGCTTAGTAATAAATAACACAGTTTTCATAGGTCATAGGTCAGATTTTGTGGTAGTCACAATAACATAAATATCTTAGTAAATAATCTTACAAATTAAGTTTTGACTCTCATTGGTTTAAACCTTCGACTTCCAATCGGTAGGCCGCGGGCGCCAACTAGTTTCCCAGTGCATTAGCTTGCACGTGTTCTTGGAGTTTCATCTTAGGTTTTCAGCCTAAACTGTTGAACAGCCAATAAGATGTTTTTTTCATTCTGTACCAAAGTAAGCGGAACAAGCTTCGAACTGGTAGGCCAATATTTCAAGGTCCATCCAGTAGATAGCTAACTTAGTATCCTTCTGATCATTTGGTGAATGGTTAAAAGCTGTATCTAATAAAACGTATCAGTAGATAAGGTATCCATTTAACTCTACTTTGATTGCAAGTCAAACAGTACAAGCTTTTATCTCCCCCACAAGTTCGGGCCCATTGTGATATCAGAGAGTCTTTGTTGTCTTCTTTTTTTCATGTACTTTTTTGAAGTGGGTAGATTAAAATAATGGAATTCTGTGTGTGGGTTGATACATCTCTAGGGAAACAGTGAGTTAGGCTGTTTGGATGATTTTAAACTCGTTTCCAGTCGGCTTCGACTAGATATAATAGTCACGATTGATGTTTGGCTACTAATCCTACTAGATCTGAGCTCTAACCACACTACCTGCTGAATCTTTATCCTGGCCCACCCAACCTGGTAACTAAAATGCTCTTAACAGCAACCCAACTAGCGAAAGAAGAATATAACACGGCTACTGAAAGTTGTATTTATTGACTATGATCTTCAGCGAGTGTACAAGTAGATAATCACACCACAACAAAGCTCTTGTCCCTTGAAAATTATCTTGACCACCATCTCTTCCAATTCGCACGGATACACAAATTGATCGTTGGAAATGAAACGACTGAGGCTCAATTGAGTTGACGGACTTCTTTTATCCCCTACATGTTTGTCAGCCCTAATGAATTTTATGTAGTACTCATTTTTGAATTATAAACATACACATATTTTGCTGAGTTGACTTCACGGACGTCATCGTAGTAGCTTCTATGCCGTTCACTGCCTCCTGTATCTAGAAGCTTTCAACTGAAGCAATTAGCTGATCGAGTCATTATGTGACATCGCGTGATAAGCGATAGCGGCTTTGGATTAGCGTTGATTGGTGCGTTACACTTCCTCCTATTGGATCTCATGTATCATACATCTTGACTCAAGACTTTATCCTACATGTCTATGAATCCAAACTCGTAGTGATTGTACAGCGATGTCTTGTTTCTTTCACAAGAAAAGGTAAGATAAAATGAGGGATGGTCAAGTTTATCGTGAAATAAACTAAAGAATTCATAGTGAGAAGTAGAAAAACAGCCAGTATGCTGGCTTATTATTGTCTTTCGTGCCAAACTTTATATTGAGTTTGGGTCTTGGAGGGATTACAAGCAAATCAGTTTATTATTATTATTTCCTTCAATTCCTAGAGGAACATAGGGCTTCAGCTACGCGTCTCCATTGCGTTCGGTTCTCTGCTAAAGTTTTTACCTGGCTCCAGGTCTACCCACATGCTTTCATCCTCTCTTCACATGACCTCGCCCAAGTCACCCTTGGACGACTGACTCGCTGCTTCCCTTTCGGGTTTCAGTTTACGAACTCTTAAAAAAGAGAAAATGTCATCACTCTGTTATGTACTCACAGCTGTCATTCATTATGATTTCATTGTCGTACTGGTGACCTTTTGATTGACTTTTCAAGAAACTTATGGGCTTATGTATGAGTCTTCATCACGCATAATTGACTTTTATATTGCTAAAAATTTTTGCCTTTTTGTACAGGATATGTTCCATGATGAGGCTTCAGTAGATGAAGATGAAGAGGAGGAAGATGAAGAATACGATGACGATGGTGAACTTATTGGTCCTGAAGATGAAGAAGCATTGGATGCTGTACCTGCAGCTCGAGAGTTGGATTCTCGTCGGCGAATACGTGAAATTATGGATCAAGATGAAGAGGAAATAGAAAGATATTATCAAGAACGATATGAAAATCAAAATTATGTTGATCGTTTTGGTGATGGTGAAGCAATGGCTGATAGTATTGTTCAAAAAGAACGTCTACCAGGTATTAAAGATCCTAATCTTTGGGCACTTCGGTGTAAAATGGGTGAAGAGAAGGCTACTGTACTAGCATTGATGCGTAAATTTATAGCCTATCAATTTTCGGATACTCCATTACAAATAAAATCTGCCTTTGCCAAAGAAGGTTTAAAAGGTTATATTTATGTTGAAGCTTTTAAACAAACACATGTTAAACAAGCTATTGAAGGCATCACTGCCTTGCGCCTATCCACGTATAAACAACATTTAGTTCCAATTGAAGAAATGACAGAAGTTGTGCGTGTAGTTAAAGAAACTGGTCAGCTGAAACCTGATCAATGGGTTCGAATTAAATCTGGACTGTATCGTGACGATTTAGCTCTGGTAAGTATCAGGTAATTTTTATAATGTATATTAAATGTTTAGCTTTTAAAAGTTGAAATCATACAATCAGTTAAGCATTAAAACAAGGACATAAGTTAACAAGTGATTGAGCAATCTTATCCTAAATCTTTCTCTAATGGACAAACCATATGGTCAACCAACTTATACTATTTCACCACGGGTGTCATGGTAACGTGTGTGACCACCATGAAGTGTAATGAATTGATGAGTCTCTGATTACTACAAAAAACATACACTTTTAAATAAGTGTCTTTGCACTTTTACATTTATTGATTAGCTACTAGCTACGATTGCTAGTTGACTTCAGTACCAGTCATAGGCATGTTTTCAGTTATGTATATTGGTGTAAAATAACGTGTAAAGTGATTCACCATATTTGATAACCAGTATCCGCTAGGTTAACTATCATTTGACCTAGTTGGGACGTTAGGTAAGGTGTTGAGTAGTTCTCTCTCTTTAATGTATACCGTTTTTATTTTATACTTGATTTCTTGTCTGTTTTCTACAAATTATAGTGACCTTCTAACGACTTTTTAAAGCTAACTTAAACATCAAAGTAGAGACTGTAGTCATTCACCGGCCCATGTCATTTTATCAACTAAGCAAACCACATCAGGTTCATTTAAGCATTGTAGCCATGTATACTCTTGTGCCTGTAGTTCTTGTGCTACAACTGTAAGTTTTTTTCTCCATGGAACGACATGGTGGGAGGTACCTTCTGTGTCACAGAAATAAATTTTGGCTACTGATATATACATATGAACAGCTTTCAGTTAAATTTTTGTCTTACATCTTTTTCATTTATTGCGAAGTTAATTAGCAGTGACTAACTGTGCCGTGTGCTAATGACATAGATTCCCATCTATAAGTGAGACGGCTGTCCCCGTATCATCTGATCATTTACTTGTAACTTAGAATACAGTGATCCCCGCTCAATTGCCCCTATTACTTCTAGTCTTACCGCAGAGAAAGAAGAAGCATATTACTTAAGGTTTTTCTTTTTTCGTCATTCAGGACAGTATTTCTTCCAATGTTCCGTTTCGCCACACTAAAAGCGCCTGTCTGTTCTAACAGTCATTCTTAGCGCCGCTACTTCCTGTTGCAAATCTGCGATTCCTCGTTCCTACTGATTCGTTTCTGTTGGTTCTGTTGCGGCTATCGTTGTGCTCAACAGCTGTTTAGTCACCTTTGCTAGATCATCAATTTCCACGGGTCGTGCAGCGTTAACCAATTGTAGTTGCTGAGAAATGTGGTCTGGAATACTCTCGATGAACTGGGAAGTCGATAACTGCTACTTTGACTCTTCATCCAATGTGTATAGTGCGCAATGAAGTCGATTTGTCAGCTTCACCACCAACATTAACGAGTCTCCATCTGGTCCCACGTTCGTGTTACAGAACTGCTGCACCGCCTTTTACCTGTCCGTCGGGCTGTCGAACTCCGCCATTAACCGTCCCACCAACAACTTCTAGTCGAGATGCCCACCTGTCCGCTCCACACTGTTGCACACCGCCTTTGCTCAACCTCTCAGCAGCGTTCCCAACTCAAACGCCTTCGATGTCGGATCCACCAACCCTCAAAAAGCCCCTCATTTCTCTTTCGGAAGCAGCACACCATGGGATCTTTATCGTCTGGAGGCATTGATACCAAATGTAACGAGGGAAGACAAAAGACTTGGTAACTCAGTGTTTTCTAAGAATTTGGTACACACAACGAAATCATGTATACCGTATAGGAAAATCGTCATCCGCACAGGTCTTCCGTGTTATGTTACTTCTGCCTTTCTCATTGTGTTTCTTTATCTCCTTTTCCTGTCTCCCATATTTTGTTGCAATACTGGTTCGTTTTCTCTCTTCGACTCTAAATCTATTTTTCCTCTATTTGATATTTCTGTGTGACGATGAACGTCTCTTTACATACTACGGATAAATCTTGTAAGTAACACGCCGCATAACTGTGAAGACTAGCGGCTGTCTTTGACCACAGATGTTCGCGTTCTATCTTCAGTGTTAATTGGTATAATATAGTGATTAATACTGAGTTTAGGCTTCTAGTGCTAGGTAAAGAGGGTCAGTCAGTTGATCAGGTTGTAAAACTGTATCGATTAAGATGTCTTAAACACGTATTACACATGTTAAGCCACTGGCCTCGTGGTAGAACAATTTTAACTGAAAGAGGATTAAGTTAGAAAAGAGTGAATATTTGTCAAATGAAACACTAGAATCAAACCATGAAGTCTTTGGTAGTTGGTTTGAGCCAGCCACTTAAGGAGGTGTAGGCTGCTTGGTTTAGAGTCCTCAAGATGCTGAGAATCAGTGTCATAAGACACCACTCGAAATCGTTCTTAATGACGCAGACGTATTCACGCTTCATGGTCTCACATATTCATTAAATCCTCATATTTTTCCTCGTTAGTATTCTTTCTCTTGCACATTTTTGTTCATTAGAATTCTTTCGAACCCCATTTTTCTATTTTTTTCTCTACTTTTGTGTTATATGGAATTTGACAAGATGAACTGCTACACTTCTCTTGAAACTCACATTAACTGTGCTATCCTATTCAAGGTTGTTTGGATAGTTACGCGAGACAGATTTCTCATGAGCCATACTTATTCTGTGTGAACTGATTACGCTATCAGAAAAACTGTCCAGGCTGAAGTAAGTACAGTAGAACTCAAACTTTGAGTTGAAAAGTTGTCTGTCTGCTTAAACCAATGGGGATATATCTCTACAACGTTAATAGGTCTTCCTATTCAAATTTCAGTGTTAACTCTGTTTTTTCTAACTTTTTAACGTCATCTCCCTTTCAATTTAATTCTTGTCCAACTTCCTTTAAAAATACTTTTTAGGTTGAATATGTAGAAGATGCACAGAATTTAGTCGGCCTTAAATTGGTCCCACGAATTGATTATGAAAGAAAACGTAATCGTGGTATGGAACCAGAAGAGGATACTAATAAGTTCAAACGTTTCAAGCGTCCAGCTCCAGCACTATTCAACGCATCAAAGTTAGCTGATCGTGTACAACGTGATGGATCATCTTTAGTATTTGAAGGGAATCGATATGATGCTGATGGATTTTTGCATAAACAATTCCGTATCAGTGCTGTTGTAAGTATGAAATTGTAATGGTTACTTTTGTGTTTATTATTATTATTATTATCATTATCATTGTTATTATTATTATGATTCGTTTTGAGTAGGACGTAGGGTCTCGATGGCATGTTTCCATCGGATTGTCCTCTGCTACCACCTTCAAATGGCTCTACGATCGCCCACAAACTCTCATTTTATCTTTACATGATATTCCCCTTGTCACATTCCGAAGCCCAACTTTTCGCTCCCATTTGGGTTCCATTCGACGGTCTCCCGGTATGTGATGTCACTTCAGGGCCTCCTTACATTATGTCTAATCTCTCTCCATTTCCTTCTGCTTATTTGTTCGGTGAAAGGTTGTTGGCTGACTTGCTTGCCCTTTTTGGTCGGCTACCTGATCTTCAGCATATTGAGAGAAGGCATTTCTTATTGGAAGTTTGTAACCTATTTCTAGACAATAGTGGGGAAGGGCGCGCGCGCGCGCGAAATCTTTGAACCATATAGAAAGGAGCATTAAATTGACATTAGGGTTAAGAATTCGTACCTTGTTTCTCGTGCTACATACCGTGGATCTTCACACTGATCCCAATGTGTTGAATGTCTTTTCTGCTTTTTGGATCCTGTATTTTACATCTTCATCCTTGCCCCCACTGGTACATGAAACGATAATTATTGGACTGGGTGAGTGAAAGAGGCAATCTTCTTTAGATTTCGCCCGTTGGTGTTGATTTTTTTCTTCCCTTCACGGTCCCCAGTGGAACATAGGACCTCAAGCTAGTGGCTTGAAATTTCTCTAGCAGTGTTTTATTTTAAAGGATGGGGTTGCTAGCCTCATGCCCAACCTTTCCTCTTTACCAGCATTATTTCTGGCTTAGCGAGGTAAAGGAGTGCATCCGTGGCCGGGATTCGAAACCCCGGATCACGTGCATGGTTGGCGAGCGTCTTAACCGCTTTGCCACCGACGCACTTAGTGGTGATTAGTACTTGTTTTTGTTTAGGTATTTTCGTCACCTCTATTTTTTCTATGCTCTTTCCAAATTCCCATTTACGCATTTAGAAAAAAACAACAGTTTGAGCGAAGAAATATGCATCCCTTTTGAATTAGCTCCTCATCATTGGCTCTACACTAATATGTAGTTTTTTAGATAAAGCAATAAGAAGACGTAATTTGTCTGAATCGTGTGTGTTATGTATTTGCGCAACACATTTCGAACAATCTGGTCCATCACACACGGACTTGTCATAAGAATGAATATATATGAAATTAATGAAGAGGTAAGAGGTGAGAAAATAGACAAGTTAGGTCAAGTTGAAAGGATATATTCAAAGTCAAAATAACAATGAAGACCACTAAACCAAATAGCAGAGGTAATAGTACATCTGCTATGGTATCAAAACAAAATTTACCAAGGATGGTTTAGTGTGATGACGAATTGTTGCTTTAAACACATAAAGGTGGTTTAAACTTTCTAATTGCCAGTTAGGGCTTCCACAAACTTTAGGATACGCCCCAAACACGTTTTATAGATAGGTTTAAAAGATCTGTTAACATCAATTTTATGACCTGTCTCTATAATATGTTTCGCAATAGAGGAGGTAGGTCTCCTGTTCTCACCGTTAATAGGTTCTGATGATTCCACTTGTTTCTGGAGCCATTTTGGAATATGCTCTGAAGCCCTTACTTGCAGAGATCAATGAGTCCTCCCTATGTATGTGTGTCCACACGTACATTCAAATTGGTAAATACAGTGGGATGTGACGTCATTTTTCGCATGTTTGAAGGGCTTAGATAGATATAATGGCTTTACATCAAATGGTTATTTTAGTTAATCAGTTTTAGGTATAGCGGGTGAAATTAAGAAGTTAAATGTCATCAAAATAATTAACTAATAGGTGTTAGTGACAAGATATGTAAATTTTAGAGGAAGGGTGAAAATTAATTGTGAGATTCAAGATAAGTCGATTCTTAGGCTTTAGTAACAAGTTATTGAATAATCAAGAAATTTGTAAAATGACGATGACTCAGAAGTATCACGTAAAATACCAACACGTTAATAGAAATAGCTATGCGTCCGTGGCACAGCGGTAGAATGCTTACTAACCCCGTTCCTTGTGGTCCGGGGTCTGACCTCCGGCTGACGCACTCCTTTACCTCGCTAAGCTGGTAATAAAACTGGTGAAGAGGGGAAATTGGGCATGAGGCTAGCAACCTTATGCCGTAAAAATAAACACCACAGCTTTAATCCCTATGTTCCAATGGGGACGTAAAGGAATTTTTAAAAAATAGAATTAGCTAGGATTTTAAAAATTAACAAAGTCAATAGATAGGATAATTAAAAGGGGAGGGGAAAAATCGTTTTTAAAAATTAATATATATATATATATATTTTATGTAGTTGGCCATGGTAAAGAAAGGGACTTGTACAAATTTCTTCTAAACACTCAAATTTGTTTTGTTCAAATGAATTCCGAATGCCTGTACTCTATTTAAAAGTCATACTCTTAGATAATGCAAGAGGTTGGATGAAATACGATGAATAACTTTAAAAGCTTTGTTAAAGTTGACTTGATATCCAGTATCAATGAGATGACGAGCTAGTATTGAGCTGTGTATATAACAGCTTTATTCGGACCTTTGCCAAATTAAGCCGGGAAGTGTTCAAAAATTCAACTATGAACTTGCCTGATCATACACCCAATGTAACTAGCTCCACACGAGCAGTTAAACTGTTAAATACACAGGGATGGTGACTTTTAACCTCTCAAATTCACTGCCTATACCTAGAACTAATAATAATAATAATAATTTGCTTTATGCCAAAATAGTACTTGTGATGCAGAATGGAATTCTCAGCATTTTACTACAGTATTGCATCCAGTTAGTACATTATCAATAAACAAAATTCTACATAGATTAAGGGTAATCTCAGTTCATTATGACAACAACATATTGACATGTCAGTAGCAAAGCCAAAATTGAACAGAGTGTTTGAAGGTGTTAGAAAAGAAGATGCTAGCATATTCACTGGCGTAAGCGATAACAAAAAGGTCGAGATATACAGAGTGTGAAAGAACGAAGAGGAATGTTTTAAATAGAGTTTGTATGGAAGAAAGAAACAAAGCAACACATAACAGAGAGAAAAAAAGAGAGAAAAGGAAAAGAAAGCAAGAAAACGTTGTACCTATGAATGATATCAGTTGGAAAGACGAGATCCAGCTGTTCTACTGACTATTTAATAAGTTATAGGTATCACGCCTGATGCTTTCTTTATCACACAGAACATGAGCTAAGTAGGGTATGGTTGAGTTTTTGTACTTGCCAGTGCGAGCATATAGTTTTCTATATAGGCTTCTGGTCTGCCTGCCTGAAGAGATACAAGGGGAGAGTTGTGAATGAAGAGGGTGGTGTGAGTTAGATTAAATAGATTAACCCATTTTTCACATGAGTCCAAGTGCCTGTCAACCAGAATATTAACAAGCTGGTTAAGTGGCACGTAACTTACCCTGCTGACAACCTTTAACATCCTGCGTGATAAGGTATAGTCTTTATTCAGTAGCCAGCTCTGGAAAAACTAACGAGAGAGCAATAGAGAATAATAGGCAGAATGTGAGAGTAAACGAATTGTAGGAGTAAGGGTTGCGGGGGGGGGTTATTCCAGAATGTCTTAACTTCTTTGATGTAGAAGGTAAGACGGAATATTTTCTTAGAAATCATCTAAATATGAGATGACCAGGAAAGATCAGAAGATAGAGTGACGCCTAGATATTTAATTTCCGACTTGGTTTCTATTTCAGTGCCATCTATGTTGCACACCTTGTGAGTGCTAACCAGGTGTGCAACATAGATGGCACTGATGAAATAGTAACCAAGTCGGAAATTATGGTATTTCCTCTTTGCCTCCTTCGATAAATGCACAACATTTAGCTAAAGGTTATTTATAAAATGTTCAGGAGTACATTTTCAGATCCAAGGATATATCTAACTCAGCAACAGTTATCTCATGCATTGGATTACGTTGCCACCCATGATTACACTTTTTCTCAAGTTTAGTAGAAACTTTCGAATCGTTAGGTCGTAAATATTTTAAGTGATAGCGGGAGTAAATAGCATCATTCGATGTTATATTTTAATCGGTTAAAGCAAATTAGACTAGAGGAATTATATGCAGTGTAGTTTTTTGATCTTCCCAATTTTTTAGCAGGCCTCCGTGTATAGTTTATGGTACCCACTGGTAGTTGAACACACCAGTGCCGACCGAAAGCTGCTACCTTGACGTGGTGGTCGGGCTTGAACACCGCAATGATCTATTCAAGCTATACTGGCTGAGACTTATGTCTCTTGAGGTCCTACCATGCCAGGCAGGTTGTTTGGATAGCGGTTAGACAAAAAGCAACTACCCAATCCAACATCATGATAAATACAAAATCACAAAATTTCATGTCGGATCGGCCGTGGCCCGGATTAACAACGACCGCGCTTCCTGCTGCCGTGTCACAGGGCGGGAGTGATAAATATGCTACTGAGACACACCAAACAAAAGAGAACAAACAAAAACAGGCCGCGTGTGACCGGCCTCAAGCAGTTGTCCCCTGGGCTCTGCGGTCACGCAACCAACTTCCACGGTGTGGGCAGCCGGGAAGTAACAATCGCCCTCACAATCCGAAACGCACGCGAAACCTCTCTATTACTCACTAATCTTTGTTTTCATCTTCATCTCTATTATCTTGCCTTCCTTCCACTGATGCAACTCCTCGGCTTGATAGCTCTCCACTTCCTCTCCACTCTGTGTCCACTAAAAACGATGGAAGCCAAAAAAACCACCACCGACAGTCTCCTAAAGCCACGCCACCAATTTCATATAGGAGCATTTAATGTTAGGACACTTTACCAAATAGGACAACAAGCATCACTAGCCAAGACCCTGGCATCCCGAGCCATTGATGTATGCTGTGTTTCAGAAACACGCATACAAGACCCAAGTGTGGTTATTCACCTAACCCCACCTGGCCAACAG